TATATATATATGAAATCCAGAATGTGTAAATCTATCAAGACAGTAACTGAGTTAATGGTTCCTTGGGGGGATGGCAGGGGAGGTTAGGGGGATGTGGGGAGCCAATAACCATGAGTACAACAACAATAAAATGTCTAAAATTGATTATGGTGATAACAGTACAACTCTTCTTGATGTGATCGAGCTATTTATTGAATTGTACTATATGTGACTTACATGCAAATTAAACAAAAAAATAAAATTTTAAATTTCATTAGGTCAAAATTTTAAATTTTAAATAGGTCAAAAAGTTTGGGTTTGTTAGTTCAACAGTGATTTGTATTTCTAACGTGAGTTTGGCTATTTATCTTCACTTCTGTTTACTTTATTTTGTTGAACTTTTTGAATTGTAATTAGGAGACCATCTGATCTTTGGAGTCAAGAATAAGAAACTGCTCTTATTGGAAGCACCGTCTCTGACCCGGTGACTCCCCATGGGGTGTGTCGTAGTCTCCGGTTGTAATGTCCGTACAGAGAGTCGACGGAAACTGTCTGCAGACAATCCGTATCCCTTCACACCTCATTCCTTACCAAAATTCCTAATTGACAAAGATTCTGAAATAAAATAAAAAATCTAGTCTTAATGAAAACGAGCGTTCTGTTGGTTTTAGCTTCTCCAATAGCAATGTGCTCCCAACACTGTTCAAAGACTTCTAGCACAAGCATGGCATCGCCATTCATAATTGTGCAGTTATGAAACAAATGTTACCTTTGTTTCCTTGTTTAACTCACTGTAAAACCTGTGAATTGATAGATAGGAGACACTATAAAACTTGATTTTTTTACTTGTCAAAATATTTTTTCTACAAGTCTCTTTAAATAGGCATCTTAAAAAGGTACTTTAGACACTAATAATTAACAAGGAGTTATGTGGAAATAAGAATTCTTATTAAGAGAAATTGAAATTTGTTTCACTGGAGTGGGGAAGAGAATCTTCATCTCGTGTAGTCCCCAAACTTTATTAAGTGTTAATATGGCACTTCTGGGCAGTTAGCAGAAATGCTTAATTCCTGACTCGCATGAATTTTTATAGCTCTATTAGAAAGCTTTGCAAAAGATAAATGTTTATAAAGAGTAATTTGACATAAATATTCATGCTTATGCACTCCTTTGAAATCATTTAGAGCTTTCTCCCATTAAAGAATGACTTTTTTTTTGCTTCCAGGTGCCACCCATTAGAGTTGGGATGGTGGCCAGTGACAGCCAGGAGACATGGCTGTGAATATTCATCCAATGCCTTATCCCCGTACTTAGAGAAAAAAGAAAGGGAAAGCTGTGAAGAGGGATTTGCTTGTTTGTTTGCTTGTTTGTTTGTTTTTAATACTACACAATGGGTGTCCTCCCTAAGCTCAAGCAGTCAAGTTCACT